TGTGCTGTGTGTGCTGTGTGTGCTGTGTGTGCTGTGTGTGCTGTGTGCGCTGTGTGCGCTGTGTGTGCAGTGTGTGCTGTGTGTGCTGTGTGTGCTGTGTGTGCTGTGTGTGCAGTGTGTGCTGTGTGTGCTGTGTGTGCAGTGTGTGCTGTGTGTGCTGTGTGCGCAGTGTGTGCTGTGTGTGCTGTGTGTGCAGTGTGTGCAGTGTGTGCTGTGTGTGCTGTGTGTGCAGTGTGTGCAGTGGGAACTGAACGTGGGTTCTCTAACAGAGCAGCAAGTGCTGTGAACCGTGGACTGTCCCTCCAGCATGGCGTGTGTACCTGTAACCCCAGCATTGGTGGAACAGAGACAGGCAGATCTCAGTACGGATCAGGGTGGCATTTTTTCTTCTACCTCAGCCTCCCAAGTGATGAGATTAAAAGTGTATCTCCCTATGCCCAGTTTATCTTTGGATTTTATTTTATTTAGTTATTATTTTTAGTACACTTAGATGTATTTGTGCATGCATGGACCACAGTGCATATGTGGAGGTAAGGGACAACTTGTAGGAGTCAGTTCTGTCCTTCCGTGTAAGCTTTAGGGATCAAAGTTGGGGTCAGACTTTGTGGCAAGTATCTTTACTCCCTGACCCACCTTGCAGGCTTTAAAAGCACTTTCCACCATTTCCCGGAGAGTGTTACAGTTTTGATAGAAAGATATAAACTACCCCCTTTTTTTGTGCTCCACCAGAGGGCTCAGCTAACAGGCAATCATAGTGGCTTTGCTGGTTTTGTTAGTCCTACAGTGCTGATTACACACTTGTCCTTTCTCCTGAGCTCATTCCTTGTATCTAGATAGTGGATCACAGGGCTCCATGCTGCACTTCACTCAGAGTGAAAAGAAAATCAAGCTGAAATGTACTGGAAGCCTGTGACATTACCACTCAAGCTGAGGCAGAAGGCCAGCCAGGGCTAAATAGTGAGACCCTGTCACTCCTCTACACTCCATATGAAGAAACACTTCAATTATTACAGTTAGTCTCTAATACTAAATATTTATGATTTCTTCAGTGATGTTTAAGACATGAGGAGAATTCACCTAAAGACCTGAGTTCAGTCCCTGGAACACTCATGGTAGAAGGAAAGAACTGATTTCCTAAAAAGAAAAACTCATTAAATACTAACATAATGCCTTATAATATATACAGCTGTGCTTGATTGTCTGCCTGCTTTGATTTGGAGTGAATATTAACACCTGTATATTTTCTCTAGATGACCACCCAGAGGAAGGACATGGGGCCAAGAACCACGACTGAAGAGCTTCATGGTGCTGCACAAGCAGTCAGTGGGTGATGCCCACACCAGGCTCTCCACCTCAGCTGTGTCTGGAGTACCTAACTTCTTATTCCCAATACCATCAGTTAGACCACCACTGTTGTAAATGTTTGAGTGTCCACAGACATTCAGCTGCTCCTGCTTTACTGCATCCGTGGAGTGCCGATCTGTCATCTGGCTTGCCAAGTGACACTGGGGGAAATTTTTTTGTCTTCAGGATGTATTTTTAAAGTTCTCATTTGTGAAATCTGAAAGGGCTTTTTAGTACTTTGTATAGTTTTGTTTTTCAGGCCAGCTCTAAGGGCTGTTGATGTGCCGCTGGTAAAGCACTTGCCCCCCATGTGCAAGGTCCTAGGTTCAGTCCTTGCACTGAAGAAAGAAAACACAAGAACAGGTCTTTGTCCATATGCTCTGCTCATTAAACTTTTTTCAGCTAGATTATATGGACCTATGGGGAAAGTCATTCATATTTTGAAAAAAATATTTAAAGAGGCATTAAAACCAGAACTTAATTTGTATAAAGTTTGATTTTTTTAAAAAAAATATCTGAATTACTGTTTGCCCTGGCTAGTTTTATGTCAACTTGATACAAGCTAGAGTCATTTGGGAAGCAGGACTCTGAATTGAGAAAATCCTTCCATCAGATTGGCTTATGGGCAAACCTGTAGTACATTTTTCTTAATGATTGATGTGGGAGGGTCTAGCCCACTGTGGGTGGTGTCACCCCTGGGCAGGTAATCCTGGGTTCAGTAAGAAAGACTGAGCAAACCATGGGGAGCAAGTCAATAAGTAGCACTCCTCTGTGGCCTCTACATTAGCTTCTGTCCTGATTTCTCTCAGTGATGAACTGTGATGTTGAATGTAAGTTGAAATAAACCCTCTCCTCAAGTTGCTATGGTCATGGTCTTTATAACATCAGTGAAAACCCTAAGATATCCAAGACACCATCTAATGTTGATCTTTAAACTAAATAACAATACTCTTTCCCCAAGAACAGTCTAGCTTCTACTGGGGATTTAATGAAAAGGTAAAGGGGAAACTAATTATTTTAATTATACTTTAAGTAAAGCAAAGAGTTTATTATATAAAGAATGTAAAGCTAAAAGTGTGTGCTGGGATCTCAGCACTGGGAACAGGTGCACGTTTCTGGACTCAGGGTGCTCATCAGAGCCTGGGTTCAGAGTATGTCTCTCTCAGCCTCGAACACTGTGGACTCAGGCCACCAGTGGCCAAAGCTGCACGCATCCTTATTTTCCTTCTCAAATCTGCACTGACTAGAGTTATAAATTCCACTGTGTTCTCTGTTCAAATATAAATATCAGCTTCTCCGAGAGGGCTTGGTTAATGTTCAGAAGTGTCAGCTATGGATGCTATGCTATCTTAGGAATTGTAGTTATATAGAGCCAGATGAAGGGAAAATACTGGTGTGTATAATTTTGGACATAGATGTGAAATCATCAAAGTGGACGACACCCAGACTTGTCAAATGCAGCCTTATGCATTCCCAAGTCCTGATTCTAACTGTCTGTGCCTAGGCAATGTTTTACTTTCAATAATCATTTAATGCAACTCAGCTCAGCTCTGTGTAGATTGTCATGTCACTATCTTGTCATCCAGAGAGGGGATGACTGGAGCTGCGTCACTGGGCAGGTGGGATCTGCGAAGGCAGGACTAGTACATGTGTACACTTGATATCCACCATTCTTATAGGACGCCACAGCCTGGGGGACCAGGTTTATTTGAAGAGCTTCTTTGAAGAGGGGGAAGCCATCTACTTTTAAAACGTGTTACTATTTTGTTTTTGGTTTTTTTTTTTTTTTTATCCAAAGAAAGAAGCATTTTGTATTCTTAAAAGCTGAGGAAGAGTCAGGTTGTGGTGAAGTCGGCCTGTAATCCAGTCAATTACCTGAGAAGCTCAGACAGGAGGATTGATAGTTCTAAGCTAGCCCTGAATGTGTAGCCAGACCCTTTGTCCAGAGAAAGAACGAAGGGGCTGGAGAGAAGGCTCAGTATTTAATACTTCTGCTCCTTCATAGGATGCAATGCCCTCTTCTGACCTCTTTGAGCATTTGCTCTCACATATCTCACATGTTCCTATGCATACACATGTTCCTATGCATACACATGTTCCTATGCATACACATAAGTAAACATAAACCCTAAGGATCTCTTTAACAAAGAGTTGAGGCAGTCTACTCTAACTGTCTCTTCATGTAGGATTTATGAAAACCGTCAGCTGATTTACTTCCTATGACTTCTTAAAAAGGTTTATAGGCTGGAACGTTTGGTTTCAAGACAAGTTATCTCTACATAGACCAGATGGCCTAAATCTCTTAGATCTCTGTGCCTCTGTCTTTCAGAGAGCTGTAATTATGTACCACGCCTGGCTAAGCCGAAAAAACTCCCAAGAAGGGAAAAACAGGCCCAGAAGACCCATTAGACTATCCTCACCAAGCAGTATTTATATCTCACTGTATGTTTCTTGAGGTTGGCGGAAATTACCTTCTAGAAATACAGGAGAAGTTTATGGGAAAACTTGAATTTACACAAAACAGGATGGGAATAGCACCAGATGGCTATAGGAGACTTGGTTATTCAAAACTCGGGCAAACAAAAAATGCCTATCAAGCCTAGGGCTGCCTTCTGAAGATCATAAGTTCAAGACTAGTGTATATGCTTGTGTAGAATAAACAGATAGCTTTATAATTATGTGCAAGGACACGTTTGTATATGATTTGCATGCCTGGATGATTATGTAAACCTGATTGTTCCTTTAGCAAAAAGCCAAGTGTCTGGAGGACTGATGGTTAAGAATGTGCCTTTAAAGGCATCTGGGACACTGCTTCCCAGACACTTGGCATTAGATGTTTATGGCAACCACCATATGAGGACTGTGGTCTGTGTGTAATACTTCAAATAAAAGTGAGACCAAACTTCTGGAGGTGGCTCAGTCAGGGAAAGTGCTTTCCATGCAAGCGTGATCAGATCCCCAGATACCCAAGCACCTAAGAAACAGCTGGGCACAGCTGTAGGTTCCTACTATCACAGAGCTGGGAAAGTGCCAACAGGATGATCCTTGGACATTGTTGGCCCATCTGTCCAGCCATTTTAGTGAGCTCTGAGTTCAGTGAGGGACCCTGAAGAACCTCAAAAAGTGAAATTATGGTGTTATAGCATACACTTTTGTCTCAGTACTCTGGAAGCAGACACAAGCAGATTTTGGGTTGAGGCCAGCCTGGTCTGTATAGCAAATTGCAGGCCTCCCAGGGCCACATAGTGATGTATTATTTCAAAAAGAAAAAAAGTCATGTTCTTCTACAAACAAACATACACAGTCTGTCTTATGTGAGAACTTTGAATTGCCCGAATAACAGACGTGGGGAGCACTGAGTGTTTGCTCTCCTGCACGGGCCCTGCCTCCTCTCACTGTCTGAATCTGTTTGAGAGCTGCAGTTGTTACAGAAGAAGAACGTGCTCTGTCACCTGACAGAGCATGGTGATGGAAGTTCATGGTGGTACCTGACACTTCTGCCCACCTTTCCCAGGACACCATGTGGCTTGAACCATTTCAACCTTCTTGGATTGGCAATGTGCCATGAAGGGTCTCCTTCTCCCATATCTTTGTGGTTTGTTAGCTTTCTAGAAAGTGCAGAATCTTGCCTTTTTATTAGTTATCTGAACACCTACTAGAAAAATGGCCTGGCTGCCTCCAGGTGCCTGCAGTTAATACAGCTGCTGAGCTGGAGGCATGGCAATCAGTTTTAAAGTCTGGGCTACTTGGTGAGACCATGTCTTTAAGAAACAATAACAAAATCGTGCTGCTATAAATGTACAAAACTCATGAAGATAAGTTCATCTCTTTTGGGTGAATTTCCCAATAGAGTGTCTTAGTTATTTTTCTATTGCTTTAGCAAAGTATTGTTACTAAGATATTACTAACTTACATAAAGTATTTATTGGGGGCTTACAGTTCCAGAGGACTATCCTGGTGGCAGTATGGTAGCATGTAATGGAGCTGTAGCCGGGGGATTACATACTGATCCAAAAGCATGAGGCAGACGGTGCTAGTTGGGAATGGCATGAGCTCTAGAAACCTGAAAGCCCACCCCAGTGACACAGTTCCAACGAGGCTACAGCTCCTAAACCTTCCCAGTTCTACCAAGTGGGGTTCAAACGTTGAAACGCATGAGCCACCACACAGAACATGTTTAGTTTTATAAAATACTAAAGCTCCCGATCATTTCCTATGGAAGGCTTTCCAATAGAGACATCATCTTTAGTTACAGGAAGACTAGAATTGGACATGAGTGAAGAGGAAACAGCACAGCAGGTGCAGCCTCCCACCTTGAGACTCAGTGGTGACCAGTGCTTGTGCTTGGGACAGTTCCCACTCATCTGCTTGTGAGGAAAGATGGTTCTTCATGATGAGGCAGATCTTTTTACATGGGTGTTGTGGACTTCAACTCGGGCCCTCATAGTTGTGCAGTGAGCACTGTTACCCACTGAGCCATCTCACTGGACCAGCTGATATAATTTTAAATAATTAAATCTTTAGCACAAGCCATGCTTGGATACAGTCTTTGATTTTCCTAAAGCTAGAGGGCATCACATACTGAGGCTTTTAGAAGCCAATAGCTATTTAAAGCTATTTGCTTTAAAAAAAAAAAAAGACTTCATTATTCCAATACTTATGAGACAGAGACAAGTAGATCTCTGAGTTTGAGCCAGCATCTACTTCACATCACAGAAAAGCATACAATTTATTTGATATCACCCAAAGATGCATTTTGTAAAGTGATTTTTCTCCCCTTTTAAAATAAGTGACCTTTTCAACCACAAGAAACAAAATACAAATCTCTACCCTGTTCTAGGGTCCTTCTGAAGACTTAAGATACCTGAACTTCTCACAGTGGACAGGTATTTACCGAGTGTCAGTTAAATGAACATACTGTTCCTGGGTACTGCTCAAGCATGCCAGGAGGGCATGGATGGTTTATACAAGGCTGGTACTGTCATTAACAACCCAGCAAGGCAGAGAAGGCAGAGAGCCTTTCCTAAGATAGTGGCACATAAGGGCATGGATAACCCCAGAGGTTCTTGGCTAGTTCTTTGCAGAGCTGAGAGCAGACTTCTGGGCCTCAGTGGTAGAGCGCTTGCCTACTGTGGGCAACACTCAAGACTGGGGGAAACCATAAGTCGATCTGGGGAGAGAGCTCAGTAAGTACACTCAGAATCTCAACATTGGGAAAGCAGACAGAGGAAGATTCCCTAGGCTGGCTGCCCAGCTCTGCTCTATAAAACAGCCTAGCAGAATCAACAAGCTCCGGGTTCAGTGAGAGATACTCAAAATAAAATGGAGGCGCAACTGACGAACACACTCAATGTTGACTCTCACATTCAAGAACATGTGTACACACATGTACACAGACACACCATAACCACCACCTGTGTTGTGAATGGACTCAGCCAACCCAGGTTGGAATCTCAGTTCCTCCATTAACTTTGTTCCATTGACCAGATGATTTAGTCTTTTCAAACCTGGATCCTCAGCAGTAGATGCTGAGGAACCTACTTCGTGGCATCATTCTGGGCATTAGATGTAAAGAAAGCAGGAAAGTTTCCCCTTTCTTGACTGAAGTGATGCAAGAATGAGGGCCTGAATTCCATCTCTAGCACTCATACAAAGACACCCAGACTGCAATGGCCAGCAAGCCTCACCTAAGCATCCAAGCCTGACCGTGAGAGACTGTCTCAAAAACAAAGTAAAAACAAAATCAGTGTCAGATGTGCACACATGTGTAAAGCATGTTTGCTGCCAGCCTGGTTTACATAGAGATCTAGGCCAACCAGCTATACACAGTGAGACCCTGTGGTAGATGGCTCCTGAGAACTGACATCTGCGGTTGACCGATGTGTACATCTACAACATGCACAACAGCTTCCGTTTTTAAAAAGTTAACACTTACTAAATGATTGGGAAGTGGTGTTCCCCACTGCTACACATGAAAGTCAGAGAATGATGAATTCTAACCAATCCGTTCTGTCTTTCC